ATTCCAAGCAAAGTTGGGATGCTGGCACCACCCCTCATTGTATGTGTTGTTGTATAGGTCAAGGCGCCGAGCATTGGCGATGAAGTCCAACTGCTCTTGGGGAGTAGAAGACTCCCGCACAGCCTGGCAGTCTTCCACCAGATGGTTCGAGCTCTCACACCACTGACATTGAGCTACTGGAGGTACAACCAACCCTCTGCCCGGAATAAGACTGTTGGGCTGCTTCAATGTCTGCACTAATTCAGCCACCTCCCGCTCTAGCCCAGACCTGGCCTCCATGGCATGCACGCCTCGATCTCGAGAGCTCCTGCCTCTGGTGCTCTGCCCCCAGGAATGATCTCTGGCAGCCAAGGTACTGATCATCTGGTTCAGTTCGGGTGGAGTCTTAGTAAGAATATCCCCTCCTGGGCATAGAGACTCAATCACCCTCTGGCTTTCCGGAGAGAGAGCACTGTAGAAGTTCCCCATGGTGAATGCATCACTGAAGCCATGATGGGGACACTGCCAGAAAATTCCCGAGTACCGCTCCCATGCATCACGAAGTGACTCATCTGGCTCTTGGCGGAAGTGAGTGATCTCGCGCTGGATCTCTGTGGTCTTCAATGCCGGATAGTATCTGTGCACGAACTTGTTGGCCAGATCGTCCCAAGAAGTGATGGACAGTGGGGGCTGGGTCTCCAACCACCTCTTAGCATGCCCCGCCAAAGAATGGGGGAAGAGGTGAAGGCGAATCGCATCATCGGGTACACCGTTCATCTTGAACCCTTTCGTCAGCTGCAGGAAACGGGAACGATGCACCCTTGCCTCCTCATCCTTCAAGCCATGAAACTGGACAGAGGATGTAATGAGCTGAATCCAGCATGGCTTGATCTCGAAGTTGTTCGCTGAAATAGGTGGATAGAGGATGACCGGGCGGATATCAGCGACCCGTGGAGTATAGTAGTAATCCAAGGTGGGACCCGGCGGCGGTGGCTGATGATGAACCCCATCTGCCTGGGGTATGGGGTTGTTCCCCAAGATCTGATTCACTGGGGGAACCTGGAGAGGTATCCCCTGGGGCGGGTTGTGTTCACCTTCCATCTCGTACTCTATCTCGGAATCGCTGCTCAAGTGGCCGTCTATGCGCTCCGCCGTAGCCAGTCTAGCTCGCTGTTGTCTCCTAAGTTGGCGGCAGGTGCGTTCAAGCTCCGGATCCAACGGCAGTAAACCTCCTGACTGGCTACGGGTCATGCACTACCTGCACACAGTCAAGCAACAAACCCGTGAAGGCACAAGTGTGACAAAGCAAACAATGCTAAAAAGAAAAGCTAAATTAACATAAATCACGTTTCTTAAACAACCTAGCCGTCCCCGACAACTGCGCAAAAAACTTGACTCGCTCCTACCGTCACTCTAGAAAATGGCCAAGTGTAACCACCTCCTAAAGCGTAGTATAGCGGGTTTGGGTTTTAATGTCAACCCGGGTCCTTAGTGTGATGACTACCCCGTGAGTTCTTATTATTTAGCGGTGAAACTTTAGTGAAGTTCCAAACAAGCAAACAAGCAAAGCAGGTAAAAAGGTTGTTTCCAAGTCGAGAGAGATCACCCGGATATGGTTCCCCCTAGACTATAGTTAAGCTGCATTGTAATTTACCAAGTTCATTTTCAATGATAGTTATACTGCGGGAGGTTCTTAAACAGTCTGTAGTCTCGACTAAAGGTCTCCAGACCCTCTCAATCTGAGTCTCCAGCGGGCAACTAACCTCCACCGGAGTAAACAGATTGAGGCCCTAACTAACCAAACCTCCACTACCGAAGTATATCCGGTACAGAATAGTGAATTGACTCCTCGACTAAAGTCGTCAATTCACTACCTTCAATCAAGGATGCTCTATTAACCTAGGCAGATATTCTCATTCTAGGTCAAAGCAGAAATAACAGGAATTTGATCAGGATTCATGCCATTCAACAATTCAAACCTCAATTGAATATAATCTAATCAAAGAATCTGTACTTGGGTTCATACAATTAGACCTAACATGCAAATCTAGGGTTCTTCATACCGAGGTGAATAAGAAAGTTACTCCATAGAAAGAGATGGGAAATCTAGCTCAAATGCGGAAACCATACTGTGAAGGATGAGAATCTGCTTCTGGCACTCAATCAGCTCTTCTCCAAGCTCAAGCCGGGCTCCAATGGTGATGGAGATCGATCAAAGACACTTCAAGAATCAGGTTCGTCACTTTCTCTCTCTAGGTAGCGCTTTTTCTCTCTAAAACTCGGAACCCTTCACTTTTGCCCTTCTTTTCCCTTAAGAAGCTGTCTATCGCGATCCCCGGTCTGAATACCCGGTCGGGTATTTTGGGTGGCGACTGGGTATATTCAAAACGCACCGTCGGGGAACAGGGGAAAATCCCCGGTCAAGGCCAAGAATCCCCGACCAGGGATTTAAGCCTCACGACCGGGCCCCCTTCTGCTTCTCAACGTCCAAAACGCCTTTTTCCCGGTCTGCTCCAAATAATACCCGGCCGGGTATTTCTGCTCATGGCAGGGTATTTTGCTCCTCCAGCACACTTCGACCCAAACGTGCTCCTTTCGACCCGAAACTCGTTTCTTCGCCTCGATTCCAACGTCAAGCCCTGAAATATGACATAAACGCACAACCTAGAGTGAAATCGGCTTAAAACACGAGAATCAACATCTCAAACGGCTCAAGAATAGGGGTAAAAACATGTGCAATCGATGGTCTATCAGTAATCTCCAATCTCGAACTTCATTAGTGCCTGCTTTGTGACTTTGATAGAGCCGTGATTGTTAAGCCATTGCAGCGTGTATGGCTTTGGATGCTTCAACGCAGGCAGCCCTAGCCTCTTCACCGCACACGCGCTCACAACGTTCGTGCAACTTCCTCCATGGATCACTAGAGACAGCAACTTCCCATCAACTATACATCTCGTATGGAAGATATTTTCTCGCTGTTCACCACCACGTTCTTGATCTCTCGATTGAGACCATACAGAAAACGAGCTATGGTAGCCTCGCGGTCCTCTCTCACATCATCACGTATCATTAACACTTCCAACTCCTTGTGATAATCTTCAACGCTTTTAGTTCCTTGTCGTAGAAGCTGGAGGTTTTGATACATATCTCGCAAATGGGAACTCAGTACAAACCGATCCCTCATAATTCCTTTCATCTCATCCCACGTCTCAATAGGACGCTGCCTGTTTCTCCTTTGTCTCGTTCCCAACTGATCCCACCAAACACGTGCATAATCCGAGAACTCTAGGGCAGCCAATGTCACTTTCTTCTTCTCGGAGTAGTTATGACAATCAAACACAAGTTCCATCTTTCGCTCCCAATCCAAATAAGCATCAGGGTTCGTGGTACAGCGAAAAGGTGGAATCGTGACCTTGAGGTTTCGCAAATCATCATCCTCCTCAAATCCCTCTTCTTCCTCGTCATTAAACTCCTCTTCATGATGCTGCTGCCGCACTCTCCTTCCAGCTCGAGGCATTCCAAGGCGTCTATGCTGGCGCATATGACGTTGTACTTCGTGAACCAAGGGTGGAGGAGCTCGGTTTTCCCTTCCCCTTTCTTCTTGTCGAAGTCTAGGGTTAGGGTTTGCATCGACCACAACCGGTTGCTGGAGCCTTGTCTCGACAGCCTCCATCCTTGTGGCTTGCTCGGCAAGCCTTGCGGTTTGCTCTTCTTGAGCACGAGCAATGTTCTCCAATTGATTTCTGATCGCTTCGAGTGCTGCTTCCATGTTTGCGATGCAAAAAAACTCAAAGAACACAAGAACTTAACAAGAACTCGCAAAACCTTCTTCTTGCCTCGCAAGAACTCCCAAGAACAAACAAACTCCTGTCTTGCGGCTCAAGAACACGCCAAGACCTTCAAGAACTCACACAAAACCACCAAGAACACGAACAAGAACACACAAGATCTTCAAAAAACTTCAAGCACACGCCACTTATTTGAACCAGGCTCTGATACCACTTGATGTAATCAAAGTAGCACAGGGTCAAGCTTCTCGAACCAAACAGAAACGGATAGGATGGAAATCGATCGGACAGTACTCACCCGTGAATAAGGGCAATCTATATATGAATCGATCGGACAGATTCAACTCGGAATAAAGGGCAATCGATATGGGTAGCTCACCACAACTAGGGTGAATACCTAGCTGATAAGAGTCGCTCTAGCACTATGGAGATTCTCGACAGAGTAATTAGGGCAAATTCCGTGTAGGGAACTCGGCAATAGCCTCTAAAATTCAATAATAATCGTCTAAGGGCAAACCAACGTGTTCAGCCCTTTAAATAGGCAAAGTACAACCCAAATCTGACTCCAACATGGAAAAACAATCATAAACCGACTTTAAAACAAGAAAACTCGAAAACAGCCCGTTAAGCCCAAATCGTTAAGCCTGGACCCGTTAAGTAAACCCGTTAATGCTGCTTCTTGCAATTGCCTTCTCTTCAGCACTTCCTTCTTCTTCCTCCACTCGAATCATCATATATGACTTCCCTCGAAATAGCTCCACGTCCATGGCTCCAAAGTAGCTCTCCAAATATGTCGTAAGCTTCTCCTTCAACGTCCTTGCCTGCACGTGTGACTGGCCCATTGATGTCCTCCTTAACAAGTTTGTCAAAATCGATAAATTGCTTGTTCGGGGTAGCAAACGAATTTTTTTTGGGATGAAGGCTTGTTGCATATTGAAAGATCTTGAAAAGTTATGTGGATTAAAAAAAATTCTACAATCGGATAACCGAGCGCAAAGTTACGTTCATTTGAAGTTTCGGTGTTACATCAGTCATTCACCGCGGCCGTCAACCGCGGTGATGCATTCACCGCTTTTGTCTGCCGCGGTAAATGCATTCACTGCGGTTGACGACCGCAGTGATGCCCAAACATGTGTATTTTGGAAATAAAAATTATAACGTGTGTATTTTGGAATTTTTTTTAAAAAACATGTATATTTTGGAATTTTTTCCGAATATTGGCAACCACAAAAATAAAAATAACAAACTGATGTATTAACAACGACAAAAAGTTCAATGGCATTCTTGCATTTTTTTACCCCAATATTATACAAGCAAACCCAAAATACGGTACATTTCTGTTACTCATGCAAGAACAAGCTGCAAGCAAACCTGAAAGGATGCTTTCGTAGGGCCATTTCCAACCCTCATTAGATTCTCAAGGTATCGAGGTAACACTTCCCCTGAAGCTCACGAGAGAATAGCCCCTTAAAGAACTCCTTAACGCTCACATTCCTGAACAAGGCAGGCGTCTCGCCAGACACCAAGCTCGGTGCAGGGTAAATCTCACCATCAAACCTAGGAGAATGGAAACTAGCAATCGACAGCCTCTCCTTCTCCGAGTTCACCGTCGCCCGATGCTCGATGCTCCGGTACACCCCATTGGTTATGATCTCGACGATGTCACCGACATTGACCACGAACGCGTTGGGAAGGACCTTAACCGGTACCCAGTTCCCGTCTTTCTTGATCTGCAAGCCTTCAACTTCATTCACTTGTAAGAGGATGGTGAGGCCAGTGCCGTCGGAGTGGGGTGTCAGGCCGATGACCTTGTCGGGCTGGGGGCACGGAGGGTAGTAGTTCATCCTCATTGTCTGCCTTATGTTCCCTGAGAAAATGTCCTTCATCTCCTCTGGTTTCATCTGCAAGGCTTTCGCCATTTGGTCCAGTACTTTGCCTGCCAGGTTCTTTACCTCGAGGGAGTAGCTCTCCAATGTGTCCCTGTGGAAACAGACCCAACAGATCAGACACTGTGAGAAATTCAACCCCCTAATCCAATCGAACGGATAATGATGTATGAGACCTGAAAGGAAGGGGGAGCTTCGGGAGCAAATGAGGCTTCCTGAGTTGTGGAGGCTGAGTGACGAGGAAGAAGAGATCGGCCCAATCGAGCTTCTGCTCCTCGGAGACAACGAATGACTGTCCGAAACCTTCCACTTCTCCTGGTGATTGCCAGAATTTTTGCTTTTCTTCCATTGGGAGGTTGAAGAATTCTTGAACTTGTGTCTTCATGTTGTCCACCACAGTAGAGCTTACTCCATGGTTTACCAGCTGCACAATGAAAGATCAAATTCCATCATAAGGGATTTTCTTTCTCTTTTACATTTCATTATACCACCCTTCTCTACTTTCACTTGTGGTGCTTTATCAGTGATTCCACTAAAAGAAAGAAATTATCTAGGTCGAGATTTTTATCAGTAACTAGATATCATGAGTCATGACAGTCCCAAAAAGGAAAATAGGGACCCAGTTTGCAAGAGCAGGTTGCATTCTTAATTTGCTGACAATACTACTACGGGTGTTGAAGAGAATTAACCAAATTCTGCATACCCATTTCGAGTTCCAGGAATTGAAGGAAAGAACCAAAGTCAATCCCATGTTCCATTCTATGATCAAAAGCAAATTCTCAAAAATTGGACCGAAGGAAGCGTGAAGGAGTGTAAAAGGGTTTGGTCGAACCTGGAAAAAGCCCCAATCTTTACAGGCGGAGTGGAGGATGGCGAGCTCGGAATCCATGGTGGCTTCATCAACCAGCTTACCCAAATCAACAATCGGAACATCGGCGTCGGAAACGATGGGCTGGTCTTGATCAGGGCGCAAGTATCTGGGCGGGACGGCGCCGATTTCGGTCTTGATCAACTCCTGGACGGAAGGCACGAGCAGAGAGCTGCCCAGGCTGGCGGATTTCGCTGATTCCATTCCTCTTCTTCTTCTCTGGTTGGTTTCGAGTTACAGGGGTTTGGTTTTGGAAAAAGGGATGAGAAGATTTGTAAATGATAACAATGGTAATTTGACTAATTGAATGAATGAAAGGTCTGGTGGGTAAAAGTCATGATCAGTCTAGAAGGTCAAGGTCTCGACTTTTTGTTCGATTGCGGAGACCATTTGCGCCTCTACAGGGGAGGAACTAGGAGGAGAAGAAGAATGATGGGTTTCATTCTTCCCAACTTTTGAGTTTTGACAAAAACATTATTTCGCGTATCAGAAAAATAAATATTTTAAAAGGATAATTTTAATGTAAAGTGAAAGTAATTTTATTTTATTCTTAAACTTTCTTTTCATAAGTTTGTTAGTTACAATAGCATTTAGTCGATGGAGCGATAAACTTGCATAAGGTAGAAGGGTCGTCGAATATATTATTTATGCTTAAACTTCTCTCATGACGTTATTGTTTCAGTTTGTATGGTTAGTAATTGACCCTACAATAACTTTTGCAGAATGAAGCAGCATCTATAAATCTTTTAAAGAACTACTAGTTTTGTGCCCGCCCTTCATGTTTTATTTTTTTTGTTATATTTACAAAAAGTGGTAGACTACTATTTCTCTTTGTATATATTTATTAATATTATTTATTATTCGAGCTTTGTATGATAGTAGGGTGACCATATTTAGTTTGAGTTTGCCTAAGAGCAACGATAATGTAAAACAATAAGAGTCATAACGTCATCACTATTTTGAAGATTATATTCACGATCATCTTCTCTTTGATTTGCCAACAGTTTTCAACATCATATGTTGTACTTGTACATAACTTTTCATTGATTTTTCCTTTCGTGCATCTTTAAGTTTGGGCCAAATATTGTGAGCGTCTAACATATTTTTTAGCCACGTGAAAAAAACTTCACGCACATGATTTTAAATTATAATATGTAACGATCGAATCAGAGTCATTTCAACTTATTTCTCCTTTGATGAATGTATAACTCAACTAACTTAGAAGTTGAACATTCTGGTGATAGTAGACTGTCCAATAGATGGTAAATTTGTCCTCTGAGTGATACATATTGATTCGGGCCTAATTGTACACTTTTTATCCCCGTTTCTCTTTGATGTTTGTAGCAATTGAGCTCCAAAAGGCGTGGTTTTACGCTAGGGTTCTTGTGTTTCAATGTGTTTCGGAGTCTAACAAGTGAAACTAACCCCGGAGTTGAAAGTTGGAAGAAAAGGAGCAAAGACCGGGCAAAGAGGAGGATTCAACCAGAGTTCACGGTCCAACATTGGAGTTCACGATCGCCAGTACCGTGAACCGGAACCACAAACCGTGAACAACAAAGTGTCCAAAGGGGTTTCTAAGGTTACTGACGCCAAGGCAGTTCACGGTCTCTAAGACCGTGAACTGGAACCACAAACCGTGAACCCCAGAAGTGAAGCGGTGCGTTTTGATCCAACTCACTGAGTTCACGGACGAGTTCTGATGCTCACGGTCGTGAACGGGGACCGTGAACTGGGCACGATCTCAGTATAAATGGAGAACTGAAAGGAAGAAGAAAGAGAGCTCAAAGTGAGAGAAACCTTCTTCTTCTTCTTGAAACACTAGAGAGAGAAAGTCAAGAACCAAGAGGGAGAAGAGGCTAGGGTTTGCTTCAAGTGAAGATTTTGGGAAGTTCTTTTTCTTTGGAGGATCTCTACAAGCACAAGGAGAGTTGGAGGCGTCACAATGATGGTTTCTTTCTTCCTCTTTTGTGTTCTTCCTTTGTCTAGCATGGAGTAGTTTCCCTTTTCACTTGGGTGTTGTAGAACCCTAACTACTATCATGTAATTGATTGTGTGATGGTGGTGTTTAATTTAAGAATTGAGGTATTTTTCATGGTGATTTTGCATATTGTTTGCTTGGCAATATATTGTGCTATTCTAACCTAGATTAGAGAGAAGCCCCTTATCTTAAGAGGCTCAAAATTGAGCTGGGTTTTCTTAGGCATTCCATGCCTCCTAACTAGGTTAATGAAGGGCAAACCTCTACTTGAATTAGACACCTAGGTTGATTGGGATTATTCCGTTCAAGCCTTGGTTTGAGGGAGAAGGTAAGTCAACCCTCAATTGCTTGCGCCAAGAATTGTAGCCTCTAATGCTTACGTTGGCCTAGCAATTGAGAGGATGGTTTCTAACCATTGTCGGGTCACAATTTCCTTGTCACACACCGGTTCATTCGATCCCACGGGTCATAGTAGTTAGTTAGGAGGAAGAAACACCCGAGTGAAGCTTCTCACCAAGAGTTTCCCACCCATTTACTTCTCAAAATCTTGCTTTCAAACTGTAGATTGTAGAGATTTCAACAAACAATAATTCGCTAGATAATGTTTCAAACAATCGAAGTAGCGGTACATGGGCTGGCCTGGGTTGATATTTAAACATACTTGCCCTATATTTCACCCATCTAAGGTTTATAATTGGACCTTAGGTGGGATTTTATTGTGATAGTCGGAGCGAGTCAAGTTTTTGGCGGCGTTGCCGGGGAACTTCGGTTTGTTATCTTGAAAAGATTGTTTGGTGTTAATCTAGATTTTATTTTTAGTTTTGCTAAATGTGAAGTGTGCTTGTGCTAGACGTGTTGTGTTCTTTAAGTGTGTGTAGAGAGGTGCATGACCCGGAGCAATCCGGCGCCTTTAACACCACTGGACGAGGACATCAACCGGACTCTCCGAATTTTAGCTCGTGAGAGGGAGCTAGCAGAGACAAGAAGGAGAATTCAAGAGAAGGGACAACAAGTTTGTCCCGTATTTGAAGGAATTGAAGGAGAAGTTGAAGTTGAGATGGCGGCCGGCGAATCAACATCGAGGTGCTAATATGCTTCAAAACCAAAATGAGGAAGAGGGAGCGAGGAAGAGCCAAGGACTATGGGCTATTACATGGCTCCATGGGCGCAACAATGAAACATGTGAAACTTTATTTGTGCAACAAAATGAGCGATGAATTTCTCGCTGATTCCTCAAGTATTTTATTTAAAACATTGTATATTATTGGTATGGATGTGGACTCCATTATTGATGCATTCGCTAAATTAAAATACCGTTGTGTATAATTGACATTGTATAAAAAACTATATTCACTATATTTTTTCAATTTAATTTTATAATGAAATGGGGCCCAGTGCTCTTCTGTGTTCTGGATCCGCCGTTGACCATAGCTCATCACTCCATGTGCAACTCCGACTCTCTCACCACAAAATCCGGCTGCTACCACAATCAGGAACCATGGGCAAATCACAAAAGTTCCCGAAATGGCTAACCCACGAAAGATGGAAGGTTTGAGTTCCATTCAGAAAAACGAAAAGGAATCTTCTTGATTAGTGGCTCCTCCCAACATTCTATATATGGATATGTACGCACATGGTAGTTTCTCCTTGCTCGATGCTCCCCAATTGAACTGGTGGTTAGATTAGCCTCTTCTATCTATATCTATCTATCTATACTATCTATCTATCTATCTATATTTATCTATATCTATATCTATACTATATATTATGGCAATTCAAAAGTAACTTCTTGCCACATAAGCACTTGGAGAAGTCACAAGTTGCCAATGTGAATAATTTTTTTGCAAACAAAAAAATATAATTATTAATTTATTTATGATGCTATCTCTCTCTTCTTTTAATACTTCTACTCATGTTTACTAAACATTAGTAATAAGTTACATATTGATGAAAATGTAAGGAAACACACATAAGCAATAATATTTTTGTCAATTAAAATAATATAAAATGAAAACAGTGTGTGACATATATTGCATTTGTTAAAATAAAAATATATATTATATCTTATCAAGTAAATTTACTACTCATTTCACTAAAACCTTAATAATAATTACATTTTGATGAAAAAGTACAAAAGTACACACAAATAATATTTTTTTGTCGATTAAATAAAATATAGCGATAAAAAGAGAGAAAACAAGTGTTTGACAATTAATTGACTTTGATAATGACTTGAATGAGCAAGTATTAAAATAATATCTTCTTTAAATAACTTTTATTCATCTCGATTAAGTGAAAAAATTATCCATGTTCTACCTTAAATTTCTCAAATGAAGATGAATCACATGTGCAATACTTTATAATTTGTTCTAAGTTCATATTGAAATATTTTCTCTAAGTTGTACGCTAAGAAATTTTCTTTTCTGATTTGGAGTTATTGTCGATGATTATACATCAAAGTTTTTTAAATGCTTAAGTATGATTTCTGACAAGCTTTGACTTCATACCTTAGGATGAGACACAACATCCTTTAAAAAATGACATGTGTGAAGATCAAAGAAAACTTTGTTGAGGATATACAAATATAGGATAAACATCAGGTTTCATCTACCACTTACCTAGACTCGCATTGATCAAATAAGGGATGCAATTTGTTATTTAATAGTTGAATATCTTGATAGAAAAATCTAAATTCGAGGATTGATACAATAAATAAACATCAGCGTATTAATTGAAATATCTAAACAAAAAACTTATGTAGTTACAAGCGTTTAAATCGAGGTATTGGGTCAAAATAAAGAATTTTTAATAAGGATGAGTTTAGTAGGCCAATTGTAGAAAGACATTTAATTATATGGTTGTGAGTCTGTGACTGCATACCAAATTTGGGCAATAATAAAACTTTCAATATCAAAGTCTTATAATGGAAATGTTTTAGTTCCTAATAGTAAGCAATTTGCAAGGTATTCATTAGGGTCAAAAATTAAGATAAATCTTTACATATATGCTTAGATATTAACAATAGATGTATCTATAATACATCCAAAAATTCAAATGTATGTGAAATGTCACAATGTTTGTATGAATTATTAGATTTTTCAAAAATATTTTTTCAAAAAATCATAAATCATTACCTAATATTACAGGAATTTAAAACTAAATTAGAGCCACATCGACGAATGACTAGCTCTCACCCGGTGGACAAGCTCTAATTCTTGATGATGCACATTTTTGCTTAATCTCTTATTTGTCATCATTTCAATAAAATGTAAATTAAGTTAATAAAAAATTAACTTAATAATAATGAATGCAACATTTTGATTTGTTTATATCCTTTTTCCATACAAATTCTATCTCTGAAAATAAAAGGCCTAATACCAGAAAAGGGCCTATAGTTTGGACTTTCTGTCACTTGTACCCCTACGTTTATCTTGCGTCATTTATGTCCCAACGTTTAGGGTGTCCATGTCAAGAA